AAGCAGGCTGGCAAAGCTTAGGCCTCTGGCTTCAAGGCCATATTTATACAGAACTCACACAAAATGGCATTCTGTGAGGGATAGTTATATAACAGAGTACATCAGTGTTTACTTTTGGGGTTCCCCAGACATCTGGTGTTAGTCATTTTGTGCTGACCAGATGTCTACATCAGAGTTCCATCTTATCTAAACATAAACTGGCCCTTGCTGACTTCTGTAGGCAGAGTTTTCCTGTCCCGACCACCTGCTCTCAAATAACTGAAAACTACTTCCCAAATAATTGACTCAGAGATGTAATAGAAATTATATTATAGACCAAGCTATGCTTGGTCGATAGCTCAGACTTGTTATTACCTAACTCTTACATTTAAATTAACCCATGTTTCTTACCTGTGCTTTGCCACGTGGCTTGTTATCTCATTTTCTACATGTCCTGCTTCCTTGGCAGCTGGCTGGTCTGGTGTCTCCTCTCCTCTGATTGTGCCCTTCTTCCCAGTATTCTCCGAGTTTGATTATCCTGGCTGGCTACTGGCCAATCAGCTTTTTATTAAGCCAATCTGAGTGATGACTCTTCACAGTGTACAAAAGGATTATTCCACAGCATTTCCCCCTTTTGCTAATTAAAAAAAGGTTTTAATTTTAACATAGTAAAATTATATACAACAAAAACAGTTATTAAGTAAGAATTACAGTTACAATATACAGTCTATTTGTATTTGGAAAAATTAAAGAAAATACTCTATTATCTATATTATCTTTGTGAGTCCAAAGTTTTGTACTCAGTTTATCAGTTATCATAACTAAAGAAAACTATAACTATCTAGTCTTCAACTCCAAAGACCCTACAAGGGTGAAATGTTACCTAATGACAGGGACCTCAGACTGCCTGGACAGTCAACTGAAGTTCCTCAGCAATGTTGGGGCATCCATCTCTGGCCTACAGGCCTAGCATAACTGACAGACTTTTCTGAGAACAGGGGATTGTGAAGGACTGTCCTACCTTGTTTTGGGAAAGTTTGGCAGTCACCTGTTTTGCATCCTGCTGGTCCAGTTTGGACAGTATCTGTCAGCAATTGAGGCAAGGGCAGTTTCTTTGCCCACATGGCTATCTTTCGCTATAAAGAAAACAAACTTCATATAGAGTTTCTTTGATGCCCATCATCTTCCTTGAAGTAGATTGATGCTGCTAGGAGCAGACATGTCTCACTGTCATAAAAAATCATAGGTTATTAAACATATTAAATGCCATATTCTGTAGGTCTTTGAAGTGTTTGAAGACTATCTATCCAAATATATGTGTGTGTGACCTTGAAAACATACCTAACATGACTGTAAGTTTGACTATTACAGATGACTATTAATCTATATTACTTAATTATACATTACATTTTTTTTGTTTTGGTTTTTCGAGAAAGGGTTTCTCTGTGTAGCTTTGCGCCTTTCCTGGAACTCACTTGGTAGCCCAGGCTGGCCTCGAACTCACAGAGATCCACCTG